TATGGATCCAAACCAAAAATTGTTGATGAATGATAGTGCACTATTTAAGAATCCAGATCGGTACCACAAGTTGGTTGAAAAACTCAATTATCTCACTATTACCCAATCAGATATTGCCTATGCAGTTACTATGGTAAGTCAGTTTATGAGACACCCTAGAGTACTATATTGGGAAGTAGTCACCCACATTCTTTGATACCACAAACGTACTCCTGGTCTTGGATTGTTATATCAAGTTAATGAACATCTTAAAGTAGAAAGTTTTTCAGATGCTGATTGGGCAGGTTCTCTCTCCGAGCAGAGATCAACCACATGGATCTAAACCAGAAATTGTTGATGAATNTGTTAGAAGAAGTCGGTTTGCTAAGTAGTAGACCAATTGGTGTTCCTATGGATCCAAACCAAAAATTGTTGATGAATGATAGTGCACTATTTAAGAATCCAGATCGGTACCACAAGCTGGTTGAAAAACTCAATTATCTCACTATTACCCAATCAGATATTGCCTATGCAGTTACTGTGGTAAGTCAGTTTATGAGATGCCCTAGAGTACTATATTGGGAAGTAGTCACCCACATTCTTTGATACCACAAACGTACTTCTGGTCTTGGATTGTTATATCAAGTTAATGAACATCTTAAAGTAGAAAGTTTTTCAGATGCTGATTGGGCAGGTTCTCTCTCCGAGCAGAGATCAACCACATGGATCTAAACCAGAAATTGTTGATGAATGATGGTGTATTGTTTTAGAATCCAAATCGGTACCACAAGCTGGTGGAAAAGCTCAATTATCTCACTATACCTGACCAAATATTGTCTATATGGTTAGTGTAGTAAGTCAGTTTATGGGATGTTCTAGAGTATCATATTGGGAGGCAGTCACTCGCATTCTTCGATACCTCAATCGTACTTCTAGTCTTAGATTGTTGTATCGAGTTAATGGACATCTTAAAGTATATCATTTTTCAGATGCTAATTCGGTTGGTTCTCCCTACTTTGGGAGATTAACCACTAGTTATTGTACTTTTTTAGGAGGTAACGTTGTCACACGAAAAAGTAAAAAACAAACAATGGTAAAAAAATCCAGTGCTAAGACCGAGTATAGAGCAATATCACATACAACTAGTAAGTTAACATGGCTACTACACTTTCTTCGAAAAATTAACTTTTCAGTTCAACCTCCTTTATAATTATTCTGTGATAATCAAGCAGTTATTCACATTGCTTTTAATCCAATATTTCATAAGAGGACCAAACATATTGAAATTAATTATCACTTTATTCGAGACAGGATAATAGCCGGAGATATTGCAACCCCGTTTGTTAGATCTAAAGATCAATTTGTAGATATATTTATCAAAGCATTGAGTCATACTCGTCTTACAGTCATCTGTTCCAAGCTTGGATTATATCATATATATAGTCCAACTTGAGGGGGAGTGTTGAGAGTATTATTATGTAATTAGTTTAATATAGTTGTAAAAAATATACCGCTTAGAGTGTATACTCGTCCTTTATATGTTTACGAGGAAATTGAATCATGTTGCCCCCTTCAATATGACAAGGTGTGCAATTACCAACCGTCTTAAACTGTTTTTGGTCAAACTCGCAAACTTAAGAAGAATTCATGTCATATTTAATGTTCCATTCAAGAAACTATTCATCCTCACATCTTTCTTTCTCTCTTCTTTCCATTTATCGGAATATACAATTGTCCGCTGCTCCACCTCAAAGGAGCAGGGTAAGGTCAAACCTCTGACACTACTGGAGAGAAAGAAATCAGAATATAACACCTATAGATGAGTCGAGCACCTCAATGTTATATTCAAAAAACTAAAACCAATTGTTTTTAATAATTGTCTATTGACTAGGTTGATATTGATCCATCCATGCAATTAATGAAACTAGTATTCAGTACGCGCTAAAGTAATCTCATTCATATAGCAGGGGAATTCAAAGTCCAATAAGGCGCTGCTTCTTAATCTGATTCCACATATATCCAAAATACAATGGTGCATAAAGCTAACTAACATTATTGGTTTGTTTCTTTGCTTCACTTTCACCATTTCACCAGACTCGATGAAAACCAGTTTCTGAATAACTTATAAATTTTTCCATCCGTAATTGAATTATTGGTTTGAACAAGTATAAGATGTAGGTACTATAACTCCGATTGGTATAATAAAAGTTAGTAAAGAATCTTACTCCGATGAAACTTTTCAACAATGGTTCAAATTAGGATCAGTCTAAGTTATGAAATTCAAGATGTTTGTGATTGGTTAAGATAACTTCAACATGAAAAGACACAGGTAGAGAGGCAGAGGAGGAGAGAGAGTTTATATGTGCTCAAAAGGCTTACATAAGCAGTGAGCAGGAATTTATTACACCTTTCCAATGTATCTTTCTCTTTTAAAATTAGTCTTTCCGGTGTTTCTTCAAACAGCATCAGCAAATGCACACATGATGATCTTATGTCACAGATAGCTTGAGCAGAATGCATGTCATTATTAAAAACAACTGAAAACGTAGTATAGGGCCGTGTCTGAGACAGTAGGGGGAAGGGCAGGACAGGGAAAAAAAAGAGACGAAATAAGGTTCCATACTCATGATCAAGTGCTTGTGCAGCTGTTATACGTTTACGAGNAGGAAGGGCAGGACAAGGAAAAAAAAGAGATGAAATAAGGTTCCATACTCATGATCAAGTGCTTGTGCAGCTGTTATACGTTTACGAGGATCATATCTGCAAATAAGATGCAACATAAGTTTCCTGATGCCTGTGGATGGATGATAGGCTTTGATCTTAAAAAGAACACAATAGAAAAAAGAACAAATCATTATATCATCTATATAATAAAGTACAATACAATTCAAATCTAAAAAGATAAATAAAATAATTTTTGCTATTCGCGATTGGAATCTCTTTTAATTTTACTTTAAAGCTAATTTGACGGCTAATATTAACACTTCAAATTTAATGAAAAATAAGACCTCAAAGTATGTTTGGAGTGACTTTTTAAAAATGTTTTTAATNGCTATTCGCGATTGGAATCTCTTTTAATTTTACTTTAAAGCTAATTTGACGGCTAATATTAACACTTCAAATTTAAATGAAAAATAAGACCTCAAAGTATGTTTGGAGTGACTTTTTAAAAATGTTTTTAATATTTATAACTCCTTATAAGTACTTTAAAAAAAAATGTTTAGAAACCGCCCCACCAACACCAGCCTCATCATAATCATCACTGCCACCACCACCTCCACCACTGTCGCCACCCTACCACACCCATCGCCCCATTACCATCATCACTATCACCCCACCATCACCTCTGCCACAACAACCATCACCCCATTAGTGTCCCACCATTGCCGCCACCTTACCACCAACACCACTATCCCACCATCACCCCCTATTACCCCCCAACCACCGTCACCATTGTCACCTATAGCTGCCACCATTACAATCGGTTGTCATCATCCACCACAACTATCACCGTTCCCACCACTACCACAGCCGCCCACCATCACTACCACCGCTCACTCCCACTATAACCAGTGCATAATTCTTTTATTTCTCCGCTATCTTTATAATTTGATTTTAAATATGAATACAAATATGTTTATTGTTGACTATTTTTTTTTATTACTCCGTGCCTTCAAGTACGAAAAATAACTAGTCATAATATATTACAACAGCCATTATTTCTTTGTATGCTAGATTTTGAAGAATGAAGACCCAATTCATACTGCATAAAAGGCTAATTGTCTGCACCATTAAGCAACATGGCTGCAATTATTGCAGCTTCCAACAAACTCGTAAGGATGGACTGACTTTGTATGTGTTCCTAACATCTCTTTCCTCTCAGAATAGTAATTTAAAAAGGACTATTGATCCTATGTCTGGACATCTCAGATATAGTGATTTGCTCTATTTGCTGATATATGTCTATTTTGAACAAAATCATCATCAGTAATGGTCTAATTTCAGGAAACTTTAAAGGTTCCATCAGTTGAACATATCAAAAGATGAACCCTACAATGATTATGGGCCGCACCAGTCCTAGTTCGATACACTACTCTCATTGAGTACGTCTTTTAACCAAACAAGAGTATTTCAGGGTTGGGTTGAAGTGCACAAATTGTGGATTGCTATACCCTAACTCTAAAGATCAGATGAACTATCAATAGTTCTAATTACTAATAATAATTCCATATTAAATAATAGAGGTCATGGTACAGTGCTGATCCCGCTTACGTTGTATCAAGTAGCCTGTCTCTTGTGCTGCATCAAGTAAATATAAAGTTTAGGGTTACTCTTGAATAATGCCAAGTGGTTATCCCTTAATATTTTCTGCTGTATGATTAGTAGGAACATTGCAAAGGCGGCCCATGTTGACAGGTTAAAAGTAATGATATGGCTGTTTATACAACTGCGAAGAAGAGCAATTTGATTCGTGTCAGGATGTTACTGTGCCTGGTCTGTCCATTGGGTTGTGTATATGTGTGCTAATGGGTAAAGTAGCTCCTACGCAACAATGATGTACCTTTGTTCAGTACAATGAAATTCTTACTCATTATTAAATAAAAATGGAATAAAAATAAAGATAGATTGCAAATTTAGTTGCAATCTTAATAACTTTAACATGCAAAACGAGTTCATTGAATGGAAAAACATCAACTTCAATTAATACTTTTCCTGCATACACCTCAATATCTAATAATATAATTAAACAGCAAATAGGATATTCTCATAAACAGAGAGCTCACAACATACTCGAGCATCCTAGAGAGGAGGTCATATGCCGGAGATTTTGGAGGGAGATGAACAACACTGTAAAGTCCAGGATTGTCACTGTAAGAGAAAAGAGCAAAGAGAAAGAAAAAAGTTAGATACGTAAACCATAAGGCCAACGGAAAAAGGTAACTTAAGGATTTCACAACTCACAACTGCAAATACACACTCAAGACAACAGAAGTAAAGGCAAAAAGAGGGAGGAAACGTACTATTTATGCTGTTGTATTTGTTGCTGATCGGATTGCCAATGGGGAAGATTCGCTAGTATTGGCCATTTTTCTTGAGTGGGATGACCTAATGCAACAATCAACAGTAAGAGTGTTCCAAGACTACAAAAAAAAAAAGGCACCAACTGATTTTGCTTACCTAAGACCTTGAATATTTTATCAAGTTGATCAAGCTGCACAAGTAGCAACTTTATTAGAACAAAGTAGAGATCGTATATGTCTACAGATCATACCCACTAAAAAGCTAGGTTTTGGAAGCAAACAATTTCATAGAAAGCACACAAAGGAAATTGATGAAAAAATTATTTTCATACCTGAAACGGGTTTGGTGTGGCTTTTACTTCTTGCCCTTGAAATAGTGGCTTAAGAGTCAGGAGCTCAGCAAATATGCAGCCGACAGCCCACATATCTATTAGCAACAAGCACTTTTGTTTTATTACAAAAAAAAGGTACACATTCTGTTCGTATGTTACAAAGCATTGCCATTAATAGAATGTTAAAGCTGATGACAGAGGTTCATACCAACAGCACTGGTATAGTGCTTTGCCCCAAGGAGTAACTCAGGTGCACGATACCAAATGGTTACAACGACCTTCAAATAACAATCAACACACAATGTGGAATTCTATTACGAGCTAATCATCAATAAAAGGAAGAGAAAGGAGGAGAAAAGTTAAAAGAGAGCAATGGTGCAGAGAGACAGAGAATTCGGATTATCTCCCTTGTATTATATTATTTATACAAGGACATAAATACCCTCTACGAGCTACAAATAACACTCGATCATAATAAACATTTCTCAACACTCTCCTCAAGATAGTGCAAACTGCAGAGACATCACACATGCCTACCTTGATTAGTATGTCATGAAAAAACACTGTTTGGATTCCTTTTATCCAGACCTCTGCAAGTTGATTTTCAGTCTTCACATAAGAAGCACAAATGGGACGCATCCAGCTTCTCTTTGATGAAGTTTCTATCAATCTCAATATGCTTACTCTAATCACATTGAACCAGATTATGAGCAATATTGACTTTTGTCACAATATACTTGCAAAGGCTCTTAGCTTTCACACCCCAAATTTCTCCAGTTTGGGGATGTGAATTGGATGATATTATTATGTTAATACAAAATATGATCTCAAACTACAGGAAATTTAAACCTGGATTATCTACCTCCTGCTTTAAATTCACGATTAAATATTAATAAGTATCTGGAGCATAGCTATCAAATAGAGATTAAGGAATCAAAATCCAAGATTTTTTGAATCGAGAATCGTAAGATTCGACACAAAATTTGAACAAAAATAAAAAAAAATAACATATACATATTTAAGCCACAATCTTTAGTGCTTAATAAGACAAGTTTTTGATGGGTTTCTAGCTTAAAAACTAGTAAGGACTGCCCTCTGCTTACGTGCCCAGCGGTCTCTGAACAGTTGGGGATAAAATCGGGAAAGAAATTGCTCTCAGCCCGCCCGAGCAGTCTTGAGACCGCTTGAATGGTCCCTACTTGCCAGATCTAGTTTTGATCATTTTTTCATGTTTGTCCCTTCACGTTTTCGAGGCTTACAACCACTCTTTTCTAGATTTTTGCTACTATCTTCGTTAGCAAATAGGTCACGAAATTTTTTTTTGATAGACGATATAGGTCACAAAATTACCAATAATAAAGTCCCAGACTTTAAACATACTTCCTACCAAGTTTGCTCTCTTCAAAGGTATCATGAATTAGTATGACATCACATTCATTGTACAGCAACGAAGCCTATCCTTGAATTTACTTCCGATTTATTTTAATAAATGGGAGACAGCATTGCAAACACTATAAGATAAGCCAACATGAAATTGGAGGGAAAAAAGAAAAGAAAAAGGAGAAACAACAACTGACACGTCTTACCCCATTTTCAGATAATGGCTTGAGGGGAGCTTGATAAATTCTCGCAAGACCAAAATCAGCAATTTTAACAACTCCTTGTTCCTCCACCTCACCCATTACCTGGTGGTTGGAAGTTTTGAAAAAGAAGGAAGTGATTCAGATCAGGAAAGGAACAATTTTACAATTTTCTAAAACTGTCATCTAAATGATTTAATGTAGGGAAATGTCAACACTTCACCAAGATATTGGATGGCTTGAGATCTCTATGTACAATCCAATTACTGCAGCAAAGAGTCACACTGTAAGTTTTCAGTCAATGGAAGCATGGCAAGTAAACTAAATATAAAAGATGTATACCCTACCTGTGAAGGTAATTTAGCCCATTAAGCAGCTGCCACAACAGTGACTTGACAGTGTACTGATTGATGCCATGGTTAACCTTGTCCCTATGATGCCTAATAATCTCCTGCCATTTTCAAGAAAGAAGGATCAAGACAGTGTGTTGATTAAACAATTGGCATGACCACAATACTTCATGGTTGCATAAGTAGTTCTTCCCGATAATTATAGGAATTTAATTAGATAATGCAAAAAAATTCCAGTGCATGGCAGATATTAATTACCCATAGCTTTTAATGAAAAAAATGAATTATCCAAATCAAAACACCTTCTCCATTTCAATAATAAATCAAAGGGGTGGTAATTATCAAGTTCCTAAATATCAATGAGCACTGCTACAACTTGGTATTAGCAAGGCAGTGGTATTAAGTCCAAAGCATAACACATGCAAAAAGAACATATGAACACAGACTAGTGAGGAAGAATTTATATATGTACGATAAAGAGACATCCGAACAATCAACAGGCTATAATAAGTTTTAAAGAGAGCTTGTATCCCACATCGAATGATTAGAGTCACCCAAGGTTAGTTTAATTACTTCAGGGCCTCTTCACTCATAACAATTAGTTTTTGGTTGGATGTTGTAGCATGATATCAATGTAGGTCTTGGGGGTCAATAGGCCAAGTTTCTTCCCATTAGAACCCCTGTATTCATGTTTGTATGTTTGTTTGGTAGTCCAGAGCGAGCCCGGGTCCCATGGGAGTGAGGGTGTAAAGAAACTTTGTATACCCACATCAAACGATTAGGGCAACGCAAAGATTAGTTTATATAGTTAAGGGTCTCTCCACTCATTGCCAATTGATGCTGGGTTAGATACTCCAACAGTAGTAAGTTGCAAAACTTAAAGCTTCAAACTATCACCCAACTAACAAGCTTAAGTAACATCATTACTGAATGTCATGTTGCAGCAAGGATAATCAAAATCGAACTCACANTTGGGTTAGATACTCCAACAGTAGTAAGTTGCAAAACTTAAAGCTTCAAACTATCACCCAACTAACAAGCTTGAGTAACATCATTACTGAATGTCATGTTGCAGCAAGGATAATCAAAATCGAACTCACAATAAAGAGACCCCTTTTCACATGTGTGGTCCGTAGCCATTGAACTGATAGAAGCAGGAACTCTAGCCCCAGTGGCATGCACATTTATCTATATGAGCTCAGGTTTTTATTCGTTAGCCAAGTGCAACTATTATAGCACCTCGATTACAAAAGCGAAAGCGACGTGCTCTATTTACCAACCGAAGAGCATCCTTATTAATGAGTGGCATGCAGGCCCGGTCTATATTGCTAGAGTTATGTTTATTTCACCCCCCACGTACTCCTCTATTCTTATATTTGAATTCCGTCTCTAAGCTTCCCCATTCTAAATCTCTGTAACCGGTAACCGATAACCGATAAAAGTGCTTCCCAAGCAATGCATATGACAACTTATACCACANTGTCTCTAAGCTTCCCCATTCTAAATCTCTGTAACCGGTAACCGATAACCGATAACCGATAAAAGTGCTTCCCAAGCAATGCATATGACAACTTATACCACAACAAGAACTTCAAAACAAACACTTCCTTTCTTTTAGAAAGCAAAACCTTCAAAATGGCAATGAGTCAAACAGCAGAAAAAACATTATCGAGTTTATGTGTGAGTTAGCTAAACAATAGGAAGCATATACTCACATAAAGATCATGCTCAGCATAATCAAAAGCTAGATAGAGGGACATGTCCGCATGGTTGATGTGCACATTCACAAGCTTTACCACATTTTCGTGGGATATCTCCCGAAGCAACTGCAACGTCAGCCCATAAGATGAACAAGATAACAAAAAGCTGAAAAACAACTATTTCTAGAAAAAAGACAAATTTGAGATTTTGGTTTCACCTGAATACTTAGAGTGTTTGCCATGGATAGATTGGAACAGAAAGAAAATGAAATTCAAATCTATTTTTAGTTTCTGAAATTTCATCCTTATATATATACTTATATACAGAAATGCATATATATACATGTATGTATGTATGTAATATAAAAGCACTCAACACACTATTAAAACTAAGGTGAAAACAAAAGGAAAGAAAAAGTATAATCAACCATATAAGTACTACGGCAAACCCTAGTTGTGTCTTGATTAGAAATGATTAGCCAATGTTGCCCTAATGGTGAAAACTTGATACCAAACCAAACAAAGCCTTTCCCAACTCGTGAGGTACAGTGAGAACCTAATAAGCACACAAAAATATAAAGTTCAATCTAGAGTTATCTAATCATCCATGCAAATCCAGATAATCAAGGTTTTTTTTAATCTCCCTTGTCTTTTTTTATAGTGATCCTCAAGTAGAATAGATTAAATGTCAAAAACTTGAACATTTTATTATCTTTATCTTCTCCTTCTGGCCGAATTCCCAAATTACTCTTAAGAGGTAGTTCAAACAGATAAATAAACAAATCAACATTCTGCAGTCCCATCTTTTCCCTAGTGTTTCTCACCCATCAAACTTAGCACTGAACATTTTCCTTTATCTCACCAGAAATTCAAATTCCATCTTAAGAATTCAATACAATCATCTAGCTAAACCTAGGGGCGCCAGGCAACTACAAAACCCAGGATTCAGCAGTTTCACTTCTTTTCCTTTCTCTCCATCTCTCGTCTTTTTTCAGTAACTGAACGGAACTAAAAGATTCAAGCTTCGGTTATTTTAGCTATTCCTCAGTGTTTCTCAGCAGCCAAACAAGAGATACAACATGAAAGAAAAAGAATATGTTCCAAGTTTCATATTTTTCAATCCCACAAATAAAATCTCACACCATTTGAGCTACGTGGAATTGTTTACCTCAAATAAGGTTAACCCACAAATCACCATAACACCCAGGATAAAATTTTTATTTCCTTTCCTTTCATTTCAGGTCATTTTCTCAGAATCCAAACAGAATGGCGAGTCCAATTCAGCTCAAGTAAAACCCAAATCAAACTTTCAAATTCAATAAAATCATTTAGCTAACTTAAGTTGACTACGCCAATCAGCAGAAAAACCAAGAGTAAAAATTTCTCTTTTTCTGTCTTCCTTCCCATTTTTCCCAGACAACCAAACAGAAGATTGAAGCTTGAGCAAATGTTTGGGATTCAATTCATGTTCTTCCTTGCCAAACTGAAAATATAACACAACTATTTCAGTTCAATTGAATTTACTTGACCAATCAACATAAAAACCCAGGATTCAAAATTTGCTTTCCTTTTCCCATATTTTCTCAGCAACCAAATAGGACCCAATTGATCTTACAAATCAACATCTAGCTCAACTGTATTCAAGAAGAAATTCACAAAAAAAAAACCCGGGGTTCAAGAATTTCCTTTCCTTATTTCCTATATTTGCCCATCAATCAAACAGAATCACATCAACTTCTGAAAACGAGACACAAGCACACACACAACAAATATATAGAGAGACAGAGAGAGACAGAGAGAGGACCATGATTTCGCGGATGGCAGTGGGGGATACTCCATCTCCATCCTTGGACTGCTTGAACTTCTTGATGGCTATTGACTTGCTCCTATTAGACTTGATCTTCGCCAAGAAAACCAAACCGTAAGTGCCCTCTCCGATCTTACCTATCAGATCGTACTGTTGTAACCATTCGGGCCTATTACTAGTATTGTTATTGTGGTTACTGCTCGAAACGCCTCTGTTGCTGCTGTTGGTGTTGCCATCTCCCATTGTTTGTTCGCTTGCGTCTCCGGCATATGCATGCACAGCAATTTCCGTATGTATCAATCTGTATAAAACAAGTCCCCAACTATGAACCGACTTCTTGTGTTTTACCTCAAACTGATGTACAAACTAGGTTGTATGGTTTGGAGGTCGACGTGAGATTCCCACATAGTTAAGAAGATAGCACGGGATCATATCTACTACTTTTTTCTCATTTTTATGGTTTTTCTTTTCTTTTATATTTTTCTTTGGTTTTTATCTTGGTGCGGGACAAAGTGGTTTTTAACTATAGCGAGTACAACCACGATGCACAAAATTAATTATATACGATCAAATCAGTTGAATGTGTATTGTATAAAGTAAATTAATAATAAGAAATAAAGATTTGATGGTTAAGTTCAGGTGACACTAAAGTTAACAATGGTAACCGAAGAACTTTATTGAAGAGAGAGTACAAGATAGTAAAAGCGAGAGAGCAACAATACACAGGTGTAGTGTGTGTTCCCTGTGCAAGGGATTTACAATTTATAGGCACAAAGTCCTAATTTGTGGCGGTGTCGTGAAGGTCAAGATACTAATCCTTTGGAGAGGATAGCTACAATTAGGTATAGGCACTATTTTGGAGTCATGTCTATCTCAATGATCGCTCTCCCACGTGCATTGACCCTAGACTCTTGAGTTTTAAACTAGATTGAGGGCATGAACTAAGCTTGTATGATTTGGGCTTAACTTACACGGACTGGCCCCAAACCCAGTTGGATCTGGGCTCGTCATTTACCCCTATACCTCAGACCTTGGTGAGAGAGGGTTAAGGGAATGAATGAGCTCCCACACTTGGGTAGACCAGATATCTTATTCTACATGATTTCTTTAACTTCCACATGATATCTTGGTTAAAAAATGGTGATGTAANCGGTAACCGAAGAACTTTATTAAAGAGAGAGTACAAGATAGTAAAAGCGAGAGAGCAATAATACACAGGTGTAGTGTGTGTTCCCTGTGCAAGAGATTTATAATTTATAGGCACAAAGTCCTAATTTGTGGCGGTGTCGTGAAGGTCAAGATACTAATCCTTTGGAGAGGATAGCTACAATTAGGTATAGGCACTATTTTGGAGTCATGTCTATCTCAATGATCGCTCTCCCACGTGCATTGACCCTAGACTCTTGNTGGTAACCGAAGAACTTTATTGAAGAGAGAGTACAAGATAGTAAAAGCGAGAGAGCAACAATACACAGGTGTAGTGTGTGTTCCCTGTGCAAGGGATTTACAATTTATAGGCACAAAGTCCTAATTTGTGGCGGTGTCGTGAAGGTCAAGATACTAATCCTTTGGAGAGGATAGCTACAATTAGGTATAGGCACTATTTTGGAGTCATGTCTATCTCAATGATCGCTCTCCCACGTGCATTGACCCTAGACTCTTGAGTTTTAAACTAGATTGAGGGCATGAACTAAGCTTGTATGATTTGGGCTTAACTTACACGGACTGGGCCCAACCCCAGTTGAATCTGGGCTCGTCATTTACCCCTATACCTCAGGCCCTGGTGATAGAGGGTTAAGGGAATGAATGAGCTCCCACACTTGGGTAGACCAGATATCTTGTTCTACATGATTTCTTTAACTTCCACATGATATCTTGGTTAAAAAATGGTGATGTAATCAAACCTAATAAAATTTAAAATTAGAAGAGTCTCTTCATATTGCGGAAGTCCAAAACTCAAGTCTTCCCCTCATATCATCCTTGATCCTCCGATTTTCAACATAAGATTGTTATGAAAATAATAATATCGCAAACCATTCATGAGAGAACAACATGAAGAAAAGGAAGAGGGAGGTCCATGGGGCCACGAATTGAAAGAGACATGGATCAATTACAAAAGCTCAAAACAACATTGGTAGTTTCACAATCCCAATCAGATAGAGGAAATTCAGTTCACACGGTACTTCCGTTCCGCCCACAAGAGGAGAGAAAAAACCCTCCACAATCCATAAAATGTATGTATACAAAGTTTGGAATCGTAAGAACAAACCTGAGGACGAGGGAGAAATTGAAGGCAGGCAAAGAAAATGAGCAGGAAGAGATGAGGCATACCTCGAAGGGGTTGGCTATGGCGGCAACGGTGGTATCGCTGGAGCGTAACAGAGAGAGAGAGAGAGAGAGAGAGAAAAAAAATGGTAAGGAGTAAAAAAAAAGAAGAGACGGCTGGGCCAAAAAAAAAAAAAAGAAACAGAAGTGATGGTTGTCTGACAGAAAAGATGAAAAAAAAAAAAAAAAGATGGAGGGGAGGCGGTGACAGGTGAGATGGTCGAGTGGACTTTTCGAACAGTTTAAAATTTCCACAGTGAGCATTTTGAACTTCGAGAGTAAAGGGTAGTTGACCACATCAGTCATTAATGGAATGTCAGTGCACCTTACCAGATAGTCCACTATTTCTTGTGCCTGTGCCTTGATGGCGTTGAAGACATTGCCTAGCTGGTTTTATACCTCCTCAATTTTCTCATCTCATTGGTTGGGGATGCCCTCTATTGAATCGTTATAACATTCTTGGTCTATGTACTGGTTTTCCCCCTCATCCTCCTACATGGGAGGGTCGTCAGCATGTGATGACAAAGCCTAGGCATGCAGGAGCTGGGGTGTTTAGGTGAGGGATTCCCTTACGCTGAGTGCTGCCTTGGCGCTACAAGGAGCCCCTTGGTGCTACAAGGGGCACCATAAGTGGACAGGCTGTGGCACTTACCTTTCTGCGGGTTGGAACAGGACTCCTCCTACGTCGAGCATCAACTGGAGAATCTGCTAGTTTTGGCTCACTAGCAGCTACAATGTCTCCAATAACTGCTATCCAACCACAGGATTTACCACAGCAGAGGCGGGACCTCCTCCCGACGCATTGGATCGTTATCCTCTGCTAACTGATTCATTGACCTAGTTGTGATAGTCGTAAAGAGAGTAGAGACAGATAGATGATAGTAGAAAACTTATTCGTTTTTCATAGACGGTGTCAAACTGATGATGCATAAAATTGATTGTGCATGATCCAATCAATCGAGTGTGTGTGGTGTAAAGTAATTAGTAATAAGAGATAAAAATTGGGTGATTGGGTCTAGGTGTAAACAATGGTTAAATTCTTTGAAAGCTTAGTCCATTCCAAGTTGGCAAGTCTTACAAACTGAATTTTTCAAAAAAAAATTTCCTTGTACACCAAACAATGCATTGAGACATCAAATCATAAATTTTTCTATGAAAGAGATCAAATCATGACCACATCATGCATTTGAGAGTTGAACCCTAGTTAATTTCTTTTATAATGTCTTTCTCTCTACATTGCGTCAGTTTATAAAAATGATGGTGATTAACCCTAAATAGTGCATTAATGAAATAGATTATTAGGTTAATTATGTTAATGAATTAACTTAAAACAATCAAAGATAAGTGAAATTAGGGTTAATGCGTTAAACTGATGTTTTGTAGGGTTTTTGTGCAGAGTTACACAAAGTCAAGGGGAGCAAAGTATACAAGCTACATCAGCAAAGGGAGGCAAGTGCAAATATTACCCAAATGTATCAAGCAACCAAGGAAGCAAACAAGAGGATTAGTACCGTCCGGACGGTGGTGGTGGGGTCCAGATGGTGGCTAAACTGTCTCACCTTCTCCTTCCCTCCCATTGGTCTAAAGTTGCAACAACTTCACTCTGATTGGTCTGCCCATGCCTAACCGTGTCAAACACCTCCTTCTAGCTTTTATAAATAGCCAGCTCAGCTTCATTTCCAGCATTCTGTTAGGGGGTTAGCCATAGAAAGTGGAGGGAAGTTCAGGAGAGTTAAAGTCTTCGCCAGAGATTTCAAAGAAAGTCAGAGACAGTCAGAGAATGAGAAAGAGAGAGATATAGTGAAGTGAAGCCCTGCTGAACCTACTTTCCAGCTAGCTTTTCTTCTTCTTCTACATTTCTGTTATTCCTTTTTTATTTGGAGGGTTGAACCTCTCCCAATTTTGTGTCATAACCGGTGATAAGAGTGGTTGTGTTTCAACTATATCTCAGGGAAAGAGTGTCTTGTATTTTGTTTTGTTTTATTTTGTAATGGAACTATTTTGCACCTCTTGCTCGTCTATAGCAATGGGGCATGAATAGTCCGCTTATACCCTTCGGTGAAGGGTGAACATATGTACGACATTGTTTAAGTTATGAAAAATGTCGATGTTTTAACTATGCTTTAATGTTATATATACCTCCCTTATTGATGAATGATTACATTTATAATATGTTCATGGTTATGAACACCGAGTGGTACCTAATGCTATATATCATACTATCTACTAATTATGTACTTCATGCATGATACAGTGATGTATGTGATTGGGTTTTTTGTAGACGGGTTAAGTCTTGGCATATCCAATGTTTTTGATTCAATGAATAAACTGGAATCTCATTATCAGTGAATCATCAACCTGCCAGTTGAATGACTAAAGTATTCCTCCTGAATGGCTTGCCTTCTGGTTTACTATAGTTGTTTAACTGATGCATGGTACAAAGATGCCGATTGAGTAATTTAAGTATTCCTCCTGAATGGCTAAAGTATTCCTCCTGAATAGCTTGTTTTCTCGTTTACTATAGTTGTTTAACTGATGCATGGTACAAAAATGTCAATTGAGTAATTCAAGTATTCCTCTTGAATGACTTGCCTTCTGGTTTACTCGGATTGTTTGATTGTTGCATGGGAATATATGTGCCAGCTAATCTAATTAGTTGTTGGTTATGGTTTAATATACATCATACATACCAGTTAACTTTCCAGTAAAATGAGGGTTAATTGTTGTAAGGTGACATTTTCAATAACTGAAATAATATAATGCATGTGAAATCCCCAAACTGAAGGGTACCTTTTAATTATTGTATTTCCACAGTTTTAATTAAGTGTTATTTTAAATTGTTCTAAGCTCACACCATAAGCTATTTCATTATATTTTGGATCTATAACAACTTCACCGTTTCTGTTTTGATTTCTAAT